CCCGTGGCTTTCATTGCGTGTGGAAGTTATTTTCACTCGAAATACGGTGTATTCTGCTGTACTGTCGTGAAAGTACGGCCACAGAACTGATACACCGCATCACTTGTGAAAATAGGGGTTTTGTCATATTATTATTATTATTATTATTATTATTATTATTATTATTATTATTATTATTATTATTATTATTATTATTATTATTATTATTATTATTATTATACATCTGTCGTCGTAACGCCTTAAGTTACAGCGTGCCGTAATTTTACGGAGTATTTTCATCCTACCACATTTGGAAATACGAATTCCAAATATGGAATGATTACGCGCGCAAGGTATTCTCGTAATAACCTCATATTATTATCATTATTTCTTTATTGCGAATAAAAGTAATCTTAAAGCGGAGGGGTTGTAACCTGCGCACGCGCGGGAATTGAATCCCAAGCGACGATAACAATGCTATGCCAAAAACGCAAAGGCTCATGGGTAGACTCTTCGTTGTAAACAACGACCACGCACTGGCCGTTTGTCGCATGCGCAGGTGACGACTCTCCCGCTTTAACAGAAAAAAATTCATTCCCATACGCTTAGATGCACGATGAACGGTTATTCAAAATAATCGGAATTCAACAAGGTCGATTAGAATAAGCGTCAATCAAGTCGAGTTAAATTCTTAATTCGAGAAATTGCTGGTACGGCCACATTTTGTCAATATTTTCAAAAGAGTCAATCACGAACAATGATTGGCCTTGGCGCATTTAAGGCGACCTGAGATATATTCATAAAGCATTGTTTTCCGTATTGAGTCTTCCTCTGTCAGTCTGTCACCCTAATTATACATATGACAATGTATACAAGCATTCAAAGAGGGGGTATAGGAAAAGGCAGACGGACATGTTTTGTAAGTGTTTCTATAAATGGACTATTAGACGTAGAATAGCGCTAACAAAGGTTGGAAAGGTTATTCTATTATATTCACACAGTGTGTGCGTGCACCCAATGTAGGCTTCGACACGTCAACGAACTAAAATAATCGTATCAGAATTATATTGTCTGCATTTATATCTGAAAACAGCTTTTTCATTTCATTATAATGTTGGACTGTACTTGGAGAGACCAGTCTATTAGGCTATACACCTGTCTTTCGCAGGATCATCTTTTTTTGGTAAGTCTGCCCACTGTTTTTAGTAACCGTGGTCTGCCATTTCGCGATGATCCGCCACTCGTTACAACAATGTGACTGTGAATGTTCGCGTGCATTGAAGACAAAAACAAACACAGTGCGGATATTTTTTTTTTAATCCTATTTACCCCGACTGGACGCCGCACCTTGATAGGTTTCAAAACTGAAAATGAATTCATAATATAATTTACAGACAACTTCTTTAGAAATACCAGTATCATAGAATGCTTTACCATTGTTACAAAACAAGTACTTGTCGGAATGCTGTGCTAATACATTTCGCATATTTTAGCTTACGTCGCAAACTCGTGCGACAATGATTTCAAAGCGTATAATTCAGAATATCAGAGTTATTAAAGATTTCCCTGACTGTACTGCGTTTTTCTGAAGTGTGCGCGAAACAAAGTTGAGTTATATTCAGTAAAAACCCCGACAAAGGAACAGTGAACCCAGCTTTGAACAATATTAAAAACGTTGTTAAAGAAGAAGGAAATTAAATATCATGAAAATTACTTTCTACAATCATAGACCCTAGAAAACAGGGAAATGTAACTTTTGTCTGAGACAAAACAAAAAAGCACCGCAAAATCCCTGTGTGCAACGCGGGTTTTAACTCTAGTGCAATTAATATCATTAATGAATACAACTGGTAAATACCAATACTGATAAACATTGTAGCCAGTTTTAACTTATCTCTCAGTCTCCTCATGGAACTATAAACCGGGGTTTATAGTTCCATGGTCTCCTCAAAGAATTTTTTATTAGACATGGGTTGTTCATGTTTGTACAGTCTAAAGTCGACAAATCAGTAAGTCCGATTCACTAATTCATTTAATTACAGGGTACCATTCTGCTGAGGTGTTAGACCATGAATGTGTTTATGTTTGGTCTTAATGTTGCAGGCGTTCCGTCTGCATTCAAACCATAGACCTTATAAAACATGTTTTCTAAGGTCTATGTTCAAACACACCGGGTCTTAATCTGCTCTGGATTAGTACCCAAGCAGCTTTGCACAAAATTTACATCTTGCTTTATATTTCATGGTAAACAACCAAATTTACCTACATTTTAACTTGTAAATACCCTGTAAATACATCCCTATCTTTGTTCAATTTTGTTTTGGTTAAATTAGTAAATCGTCGTGAAGATTGAAGTGACTGGAGTAAATAAATGCCTGCTGTCAAGCTTCAAATGATGACATATTTAAAGCCATGTTAACGTCGATACCGGACAACATTGAACGTCACAGCTCATTCATTGGCAAGGCATGCCACTGGAAACGAAATACATGTTAGTTGATTTCCAACGCCGGTAGACGATAGGCTGCTTAGTTCCTGTGTAGTAAAATTGTTTCAGTTTGAATTTATATATATATGTGATTAGGCGACACAAAAAAACATTATAAACGGGGGCACGTTAAAGAGCAGTATTCTATGAGTCTCGAAAAGTAAATGATAACCTCGGGCTGCATTATTAAATCCATGGAACTACCCTGGTAAATACGACG